CGTTCAGAAAGCCTTATTGGTTAATTGGATCATTTTGATGGATTAAGCTCGTATAGATTTTAAAACATTTTGACGTCATTTAAGGTAAACGATGTGTAAAATATGCTGATATTGTAACAAAAAAAGCAAAAAAGGTTCTAGAAACTTTTTTATTTTAGTTATAAATTTAATAAAATACAGCAGCATACAAAAAGCTTTTATGGAAAAGAAAACAAATGGAAACGAGCAGTGCAAGTCAATTATCACAAAGTAAACAACAGAGGAGAACTACAATCATCACTTAGTTATATATCATTATGAACACACGACTGTCAACTCACGACTGTCAACTCACGACTGTCAACACACGACTGTCAACATACGACTGTCAACACACGACTGTCAACATACAGTGTGTCCAATCATGTTTGAGATAAAACCGTAAAAAAGTAAAAACGGATTATGCTGAATATTTGATAAATTATTTTACATTGTTGTTCTAATGTTTGTATTTGAGAGGACAATGGTTACCTTACAGTTGTACAGCCTGAGCCCTTATCCATAACCTTTTTGTGCTCAAAGTTAGATTATATGCTAAAACCTTGGCAGAAATTAAGCTTAAGTCTGAAGTTGAGTACCGCTAAAAGTTCAATTTTCTACTTAGCGATCCCGTGTCGATAAACGGAAGTTACAGGAAAGATGGTTTGAGTACTAAAATCTTGGCAATGAGCACGAGAACGGTTATAGATGGACGGAGACTGGTTCTATACGTATTACGGCATGCATTTCTCTATCCTTTTCCTTTCTCGTTTATTTAATTAGGGTTTCTTAATCACTCACCCTCTCACTCAATACTCCTACACTCACTCAGTCGTTCACTCACTCAATACTCCTACACTCACTCAGTCGTTCACTTACTCAATACTCCTACACTCACTCAGTCGTTCGCTCACTCAATACTCCTACACTCACTCAGTCGTTCCCTCACTCAATACTCCTACACTCACTCAGTCGTTCACTCACTCAATACTCCTACACTCACTCAGTCGTTCACTTACTCAATACACTTACTCAGCTTTTCCTCAATTTGTCTCGCACTCATGTTTTATCAATCCTTTCATTCTCTAGTTCAAACGGTATCTGGAGCATTTTGCTGTATCTTAACTAATCTAATTTGAATCTATTTGAGTTAAACTCAGAGTCCTATAATACTTGTAAATTGATTTAATAATGAAAATGTCATTTATTGAACCCAAAATGGTATAGATTATTTGTTGTTGTTCCCTTTTCAAGCGTCGTACTGGAATGCTTGCAAGGCCGTGGAAACTCGTGTATCTGTACATACATTGTATAACAGGGAATAACTAAACACAATACACAAATAACACTGTCTGAACAGTAAAAGCCTTCACCTTAAGAGTCGATAATTTACATCTTCAATTTGTACTTTTTTTAATATTTGTTATACAAACTTAACTAATTATTTATTTTTTCTTAAATGTGAAATTCATACAGTGAGTGGGTTTAGACATCTCCCTTATATTCATCAGTAGCACAGACTAAATCAGATTTCCAACTTTTTATTCCTTCGTAGCATTAGTGATGAGTCGTAGAAGAACAAAAACAGCTGTATAATGCAGTGTCATTCTGAGTTTTCTGAGTGCCTTATTTAAAAAAAAAAAATGCAGTGTACTTATTTGTTGGCATCCCAATATTTAAAGGAGCAATAATATGTTTGTGTGTGTTCGTCCTTTGAGACATGTATGGAATTTTACATTTTACCATATCAATTTGTATCCCCATGCATGTAGCATCTAACTTGAATTTCAAAATTTAGAAAATATATCAGGGCCCAGATGTTTAAGTTTGAACAGCTTAGCAGCCAGTTAACGCATTCTTGTAAACTAGTGTATTTAATGATTGAAATTGAAAACTACTGAAAGTAACACTAATTATTTTTTTAACAAAATTCTCAAACATTATATTATGAAAATGTGTATTAAAAACTCGTTAATACGCTTATCGATGATTGAACGACCTGGTCGTGATGTAAGACAGCCACTTAGCTGTGTCCCTCTCTTGGTGTTAATCGGCACTGCTAACATACCTTGCATATCGGTTGAACCGTTATATATTAAAGGTACAAGATAAAAAATAACAATAAAGCAAGCAGTTGAAATTTATGGTGGAATGTTAGGAATAAGGAAAATGTTATTTCATTGCTTAAAGTCGTTATGATAAAGCAGTAATAACGCGTTCACTGATAATACTGGCAGTATAATGCCGGCTGTGATATATAAATTATCATTAGTGACTAAACAATTTATCCTTTTAGGATAAAGTGTTTTAACTTAATTTTTGCTATTCCCCCCATGCTAGACTTTTTCAGAGTATATATCGTTCAACTTAAAACACAGATAACACGAAAAGTGATGAGGTCGTTTACAGCAATACTGCCTATGTGTACTTCTAACTTCTGATTGATGGAAGTTGCTTGGCGATGACACTCCTGTGTCAATTTTTGATATGTGCAAAATTATTTTGCTATGATCCGAAATGAATAAATCTTCACTAAATATGAATTAAAAATGTTGCCTTGTTTAAATTAAATTATAAGGGATAACAAGAATTATTGATGACTTAATACGGTATATCACGAACAAAGTCTGTGCACTGTAGTCGATTTATGCAAAATGCTCACAGTGTTTTCGAGATGTACAGTTAAACCCCAAAATTATCCTCGTCATTCCTTAAATAGTTTCTGTTTTAAGGATCGCTGTCTATTTGCACTGTGAAAAGAAGATACAGTTACCTCCCTTTAATTTCGCTAAGGATATAGCTGTAGCCCAGTTGGTCCAGGACAATTCCGCTGAACAGCTAGCTCTGTCGGTTAGAGTGACAGTTAATTTGCAAACTGTCAAAATATTATCACATAATGTAAAAACGTTAACATACATTAGTAGCACACAATGTAAACATCGGTAACATTTAATCTATAGATCGGTGACAAATAACCCCATAGTACTAGTATTGTTTCATAGTAACAAACATCAACACTTGATTTAGGATAAAAAAGCAACAGAAAAATATGGAGACATTAAAGCAAATAAAAATATCACGAAACCCCAGTGCCCGTATTCACGAAACCCCTGGGCCCGTATTCACGACACCCCAGGGCCCGTATTCACGAAACCCCAGGGCCCGTATTCACGAAACCCCTGGGCCAGTATTTATAAAATCATTCTCATGCTCAAGCATGGATTTTGTGCTCAAGTCTAATTTCTTATTTCAGTTATAAATTATTTAAAAAAAAAATAGTTTGTTTAACGTTGGGACAAAAATTGAAGAGACTTATAGCCGAATACTGTTTTCAATATTTAAATTTAACTTTTTGATCATTGACATGATTCTGGTGAGTTACAAGAAAGCTTGCTTGAGCACAGAATCCATGCTTGAGCATGAGAACGGTTTCATGAATACGGGCCCAGTTGTTCTGACAGGGTGTCTTGTGCAACAGAGGTTGATTTGGTTATTGCTGATCGTGTCGGGTCAAAATACTGAACAATTTCAGTTTCAGCATGTAATTTAAAAGTAGATAGTAATCATATCACGATGCTTCGTTGAACTGAGTCCTTGGATAGAATCACTTGAATTTGTGGCCAAATGTTCTCACGATACCACAAACTATATTCCGAATAGTTTTACACGCTATCGTTTATAACCTTGCTATGCCGATTACCTCCCTTATCTTTTACCCCTTATTGTGAAATTGTCAAGTACAAGTGCACTTTACTGTTTATATAAATCTCCGTTCTATGTGCTGGTCCTCTGTGAAAAGTCATCTTTGTATTAAAGCCTCTTTTCAATAGCTTTTTAAAAAACAAGTTTAGCTTTCTATACAGTGTATATTACCTACTTCTTGATGAATATGGTAACAAAGTTATCAGGAAGGAACATATCTACAACCAACATAGAACTATATTCCAAATAAAAAGACAGACAGACTTTGATGATTTAAAAAAAAGGAATCAACATAAATAACGTAAAATGGTACCTATATATTACAATTTCAATTCTTACTTAAAATAAAACCTTCTTAGATTGTATTAATGTACATTATGTACTTAGCGATGTGTTTTCGATTAAGTAGATATTGCCGGAAAGAAAAATGTATTGACGTCCTTCCGACGCAACATAAAAAACCTATTTACAACATATGTCTAAAATATACGTCTGAACTATCACAATGGACAGCGATTACATCTCAATATGACATGATTTATACATTTTACATTCGGTGTTCATGACCGAAAGGGCGACAACTCCAACTTAGCGATGGCTACCATAACATGAGGTGCCCACGATGTTTTGAGATCTGACACAAACACATCCTGACCGTCAAACAGAACCAGATGACATGAATACCAAGAGCCGGACAAATGGATACCAGGAGCCGGACAAATGGATACCAGGAGTCGGACAAATGAATACCAGTAGCCGGACAAATGGATACCAGGAGCCGGACAAATGGATACCAGAAGTCGGACAAATGGATACCAGGAGTCGGACAAATGGATACCAGGAGCCGGACAAATGGATACCAGAAACAGGACAAATGGATCCCAGGAGCCGGACAAATGGATACCAGGAGACGGACAAATGGATACCAGGAGCCGGACAAATGGATACCAGGAGCCGGAGAAATGGATACCAGGAGTCGGACAAATGGATACCAGGAGCCGGACAAATGTAGCATGTATTCCTTTACATGTATTATTAAAAGACAGGGATAACCAGGTTATTGCTCATTCTATACCTATCAACACAGTATCGAGTACCACCGATCCACTTTATAATCCTCCATTCAAAACCAAGTGTCATTAGAGTTTTGTTTATGTCGTTATTTGATATCAAATGTCGTAATATGTCTTGTAACGTTGTACAGTTTCGGGACATTCCTTTTCCTCCTTTCAGCATGTAAACATGTATAAGTACGATGTATGTTTTATAATGACATCGACATCACTGTAATTTTCCATTTTAGAAATTCTCTTTGGAGAATCCTATCTTCAGTTTTCCACATTCTTCTTTTATCGTCTTTCCAAGAGCTGGTGCCCCACAAAAGAAAACTTTGATTTTTCCACGATTCTCCTGGATTATCTTTGCAAACAACTGGCGAAAATAAAATAAATAAATATAACTTAAAAGAACAAAAAATAAAACCATTTAATGGTACATCAAGTTGACTTTGTTAATTGACAGGTGAAGGTGTAATCACTCATATCCCAATTATGAATAATATAACGACACGATCGTTCATCATGACACCATACATCAATAACAATAAATGGAAGCTTTTTAACTTGCACTGTCAGCTTTTAGTAGGATTGTAACCAAGCAAAGGACAAACTAAAATGTCGGCACTTCCTTAGAAACGATAGTAGGAGGAGATGGGGAAGATCTCAAAACCAGATTTTTTAACCTCAAATGATAGCTTTTTAACTTGTACTGTCAGCTTTAAGTAGGATTGTTTCCTACATACAGACAGCCGACTGAGTAAGACACAGCGTGGTATTCAACTGCCTTTAAAACATTTTAGGATTCTTCATATATATTAGTTGTCTTATGTAGTACATGTAACTATGACATATGGCATGAAGAATAATTTACAGTTTATTTCATGTAGCAGACATTGGAGTTAACGTCCGTCTACTGATTAGTTTAACTGATCATCAACTTTTTTCAGGCTAGCCTATGCAATTGAACAAGATGACAGAATATCACAACAGATCGAAGGTACGATCTCGCGGAAGTGTGATATGTTTTCAATATAAATGATCTTGGCGTCGTGATTTACGACAGAAATACTGCACTCAATTATATTATATTATATTATTAGTTTTGCATTGTTCAGCTTCCGTTATCATGTGTATACTGAGTTTACGTTAACACATGTATGTTATGACTTCTCTAAGCTGGACTGCTTTTGGAAAACTGAATTGAATATAGAGTTACCTTCCCCCAGTTGGGCCTCCCTGGTTCCGTTTTAGTGCGGAGACCTGTTATCATGTCCTTATTCTCCTTCTTGTGCATCAGATCCAGCGCCATCTGTAGGCCAATACCTTTCATATCCGTTTTCTTCTGCGCAGCCGTCATAAACATGTGCATGTCTAGGATCCGTTTAGCGCCCTCTGCTCCCCCATTTGTCTCTATCTCAGCCTGGTCAATCTCTAACTGTGTCAATAACGACACAAACCACTCAAAGGATTTTTGGTCCCGATTCACCCATACAAAGTCAATCTAAAGTGAAAGTAAGTACTGTTATTTTACAGTAGAATTTAACTGAGTCTGTTATCTTTGTCATCAGAACACCTACACTACATTCATGTATGTATCTATGTGTTTCATTTTCATGTATGTATCTTTGAATCTCTACAGATATTACTAGTTATAAGCTTCTGAACACTTTTAAAAAATTGAGATTAAATTTTAAAATGTTTAGTCCTAGCCTAAAGTAAAAAAAAATACATTGAAAACTTTAAATCGTCCCTCCTTCGACAACTAAGGTCAGCATACTGTGAAGTGGTGTTCTATTTTCATTTTATCTCTGGTATACTTTCGTTTTGTCTCTGGTATACTTTCGTTTTATCTCTGGTATACTTTCATTTTATCACTGGTATACTTTCGTTTTGTCTCTGGTATACTTTCATTTTATCTCTGGTATACTTTCGTTTTATCTCTGGTATACTTTCATTTTATCACTGGTAAACTTTCGTTTTATCTCTGGTATACTTTCGTTTTATCACTGGTATACTTTCATTTTATCTCTGGTATACTTTCGTTTTATCTCTGGTATACTTTCGTTTTATCTCTGGTATACTCGAGTTATAGACAGGTTGTAAGACAACAACAATAGTACACTGATAGGCTGATGTTAAAGAACGTTATTTTGTCGTCAGATTTTCGCCACATTTATTTTTTTGAGACGTATTCAAAGCTTTTTCTATGTTTGTCTCTTTGATGTATCCTTTTATTTTATTCTCAAGCATTATAAATGATATATGAAAAATGCATTCAGAACTCTGGAGCCAAAAGAACGCAGAAAAAGAAAAAGAAGAAAAAAAAAGAACATCACTTCGTAAGTAATATGAGTATTTGTTGTTTGTTTATTTATTAAACTGCAATGTGTTTTTATGTAAATTAACAACTTACTAAGAGACCATGTTAGTCCCTCCTTAATTGTCTCCTATCACATATTCAACTGAATACTACTTTATATGTGTGTTTTCTGTGTGACACTACTAACCTTTCGGAGCTTCATGGTAGTGTCTGGGATTTCTCCGTAGAAATTTTTATGACAGTGAGGACAGTTGAGAAGTGATGCTTTATAGCGGTACATGACGCTCTGTAGGATAGACGCCATGGGTGTGATTCCTATCCCAGCCCCCACCAGTACGGCGTGCTCTGTTTCATAAATCTCCCGAGTAGCAGTTCCGTACGGACCATCTATGAAACACTGAAAATATCAAAATGACACAGATATTAAATTCATTATTCAAAGGCTAGGAAAGAATGTTGATTAACACTTACACAGGGCTTTGTTATATTGTGTATTTAATGGGCTATGTTATGTTTGTTGCCGTAAATAACAGACAATTTGTATCCATTTCAAAAACAACTGTTTAGTGAAATCAACGTTATGCTAAAAGGTTTCGAAACGAATATATCATCTTCTTATCTTTCTTTTGTTTAAATCATTTTCAACTGGTTATAGGGATTGAACGGTGTTTTTTAAATGTTCTTGCCGGTATATATGCAAATCGGTTACATCCATATTGCATGAAGCCCGCCATTTAAATAAAATTTGCGCCAATAATTAACCGTCGTCATTTGAGCGTTTGACGTAGGGGCATTCTCTATGTTATCCGAAACGAAGCGACAAGCATCTCATTTAACAAGGTTAATATATGACGTCATAAATAAACCACGCGTTACGTCACAAGGGTTTTTGCTTTCATACTCAAATGAAATGCATTTCTGCTGGTAATGTTCATATAGTGGGTTGCGGCGCAAATGTAAATATAAAATAATGAATTATAAAGACATTGCTAAAACTGAAATAAAGTGCTTCACAGGAAATGAAAAGGTCAAACAGTTGACAATTAATAGGCAGATTAATTGTGGTTTCATTAATTTTGGTGACTTATTAGTGTTAATTCTGATTTTGTGCTGACAGACATACCCGAACGCGGACAATTTTCTTTTTCTCCTTCCTCCTCAGTCGTGATTCTTCTTCCTATGAAAATTATAAAATAACTTTAAAATAACACTGTGTGTGTACATGTATTCCGTCTTTTCGTATTGCAGAATTATCTTCTCTTATAAGCAGGTATATATTAGTACGTCATTGGTTTGTGTGAAACCAAAAAACTGATGACGTTACTCTCACAAACAAATGACGTAACAATCAATACCTGCTCACAAGAGCAGATAACTCTGCAATACGAAAAGACGGAATAACAATTATGACAAACAACATATAAGTAGAAACTAAGTTGCAAAGTATACAACCAAAACTGTAAATGTAGATGTGTTAAATACTAAAACATTCTCTTTGATTTGTTTAGTCAAAGACCAAATGTATAACCGTGTAAAGTTGTAACTTGGTAAGAGTACTTTTAATAAAACAATAAATATACTTTAGTATAAAGAAGAGATGAAAAATATCATAAAACTCTCATCCATACATAACATCTGTATATACATACAAAACTTGTCGCCCCAATATCTTGAACATAGTTAATGGCACACATTTTTGAAGGTCATATTTAAGATATAAACAGGATTATTTCTGGAGTTTAAGGTACATGCTGAAAAAACTGTGTGCACGAAGCAGTTTATGCAAACAAAGTTCACAAATGTTTTTTCAGTAGGTATCGTACATGTATAACCCAAAATTTAATAAGTTATTTCTTATCATTTATTTTAAGAAGACAGACAATACTTGGTACTTCAAAAGCTAATTATTGTTTATTCATTTCTGATAAAAACAAAATAAATTTGCACAAAACACAACATTGCGTAGTTAGTTCATCGTCAAGCAACTTCAACCAATCAGAAGTTAGAATTACAAATACCGCGTAAATCATTACGGTATACGATGTCATCACTGTAATTAGGATATGAAACGTAGCCTAAATAAGTGTAACATTGGGGGGATAGCCAAAATTAAAAATAGACCAGTAAGTTTGTGCTGCATTTATATACATAAATACAACCACCATGGTTTGAGAGTTTTGGACACAAATGAACACATCACCTTCCTGACAGGTACATGCGTTAACGACAGCGTTAGACACAGTAGAGAATAAGTCGCTATGACATGGTATGTGTTACGACAGCGTTAGACACAGTAGAGAATAAGTCGCTATGACATGGTATGTGCTACGACAGCGTTAGACACAGTAGAGAATAAGTCGCTATGACATGGTATTTGTTACGACAAAGTTTGATACAATAGAGAATAAGCCACTATGACATGGTATGTGTTACGACAAAGTTAGATACAATAGAGAATAAGTCACTATGACATGGTACATTGTATGTGTTACGACAGCGTTAGATACAGTAGAGAATAAGTCAGTATGACATGGTATGTGTTACGACAAAGTTAGATACAGTAGAGAATAAGTCACTATGACATGGTATGTGTTACGACAAAGTTAGATACAGTAGAGAATACGTCACTATGGCATGTTATGTGTTACGACAAAGTTAGATACAATAGAGAATAAGTCGCTATGACATGGTATTTGTTACGACAAAGTTTGATACAATAGAGAATAAGCCACTATGACATGGTATGTGTTACGACAAAGTTAGATACAATAGAGAATAAGTCACTATGACATGGTACATTGTATGTGTTACGACAGCGTTAGATACAGTAGAGAATAAGTCAGTATGACATGGTATGTGTTACGACAGCGTTAGATACAGTAGAGAATACGTCATTATGACATGGTATGTGTTACGACAAAGTTAGATACAGTAGAAAATAAGTCGCTATGACATGGTATGTGTTACGACAGCGTTAGACACAGCAGAGAATAAGTCGCTATGACATGGTATGCGTTAACGACAGCGTTAGACACAGTAGAGAATAAGTCGCTATGACATGGTATGCGTTAACGACAGCGTTTGACACAGAAGAGAATAAGTCGCTATGACATGGTATGTGTTACGACAAAGTTAGATACAGTAGAGAATAAGTCGCTATGACATGGTATGCGTTAACGACAGCGTTAGACACAGTAGAGAATAATTCGCTATGACATGGTATGTGTTACGACAGCGTTAGACACAGTAGAGAATAAGTCACTATGACATGGTATGTGTTACGACAGCGTTTGACACAGAAGAGAATAAGTCGCTATGGCATGGTATGTGTTAACGACAACGTTAGACACAGTAGAGAATAATGGATGTTTCCGCCTTTAAGATTATTGTTACAATAGTATATACAAGAGATGCATTCTCTCCCCTTACTTTACCACTTTAAATACAATTTTCCCTATTACCTCAAACTTATTCAATGGTTACTTAAATTGTGTATCGTTACACACGGGTTATCTACCTTCTATAAGCAAACCCCCTGCGTCATTAGTCCTGTTTCCATCTAACATTTTAAGACATACACCTTTCATAACACATGGTAGTGTTGGGGATACCGCAAATGGTTATAAAATAGGAACATAAAGCACACATGCATCATTGTACTTTAGGAACATAAAGCACACAGGCATCATTGTACTTTAGAAACATAAAGCACACAGGCACCAATGTACTTTAGGAACATAAAGCACACAGGCATCATTGTACTTTAGGAACATAAAGCACACAGGCATCATTGTACTTTAAACTTTAGACATTTCTGTAACAATGAAAACCAGCTGTCATTTAATTCAACACGATTTGATAGTCTAACTCATAAAACTCATAAAAGCTTATCTTTTATGTCAGTAAAGACCCATAGCGCTGTATTTAATGTACAGGGGGTCAATATATGCGAGAGACCTTTGTGTGAGAGATAAAATAACATTGAAAATATCTGAAGATATAGAATATAATATAAAAATCAATCTGATTGAATTATGAGGTCACCAGGTTCTAACACTGTTGGTTGATATATACGCTACGTAAAAACTGTTAGGTTGAATCTGCCATTGAAAAACAAACCACTCTTAAATAAGGGAATATCTGTAATGTAACAGTTAAACTAAACACTCTATGGAGAACTGTTCTGTTACAGTTGAACTAAACACTCTATGGAGAACTGTTCTGTTACAGTTGAAAATGGTGTGATATAACACGGACGAGATAGGCGTCGGACAGTGTTACCAAATAGAACGTTACACACACTTGACAATTCTGTAATAGAAACAGTACGCCAAAAATGAAAAGCACTGCATCCTACAGGATTGTTGGTCCTTCTAGGGCTCATCGGTGATGCTAGGGGACATAAAGCTGGAAATCCATTTTATCTAAACTACTGTTGAGGGGTAGGTCAGTAAAACCCTTTAATTATGAGCTTAAAAAGTAAGAAGATACTGGGCCCATATTCATGAAACCGTTCTCATGCTCAGGTAAGGAATTTGTGCTCAAGTCGAGTTTCTTGTTTTAGTTATAAATTCATAAACAAATCTTAATTTTTCAATGATTTGGAAAAACATTGAAGAGACTTCAAACCGTAAACTGTTTGCAATGTTTATAATAGACATTTTGATCGTTTGACAAGATTTAACCGGGTTACAAGAAAGTAGGTTTGAGCACAGAATCCATGCTTGAGCATGAGAATGGTTTCATGAATACGGGCCATGGGAGAAAGAAAATATGCTACTTACCAGTTCTAACTCAATATTCTCCATTGGCGTCATCTTGATTTTTCCTGCAAACGAAAAATATCAATCATTAAGTAAGTAATCATAAATAAAACAAAAGTGTGTTTTCATATATAAAAAGAAGGACTGTTTAAAGAATGACGCTAACGCTGTTATGGTGTGATCATATCATCAATTTCATCTTTTCGTATTGCAGAGTTATCTTCTCTTGTGAGCAGGAATTGATTGTTACGGCATTTGTTTGTGAGACTAACGTCATCAATTTTTGGCACCGACGTAATTTTCTCACACAAACCAATGACGTAACAATCAATCCCTGCTCACAAGAGAAGATAACTCTGCAATACGCAAAGACGGAATAATAGGATCACATTTGTTCACTAAAACCACGTGTAAACAGTACAAATATTTTGACTTTGATTCAATTTTCCTCATTGTTTAAATTACGTTATTACAGTCTTCAGTTTTTCCTGTTCAGTGGCAGCACAATCGGGACTTGTCAGTACCGTTATACACGGTTTAAAAATAGAGACAATAGTTAACATTAAGGAGGTGATTTAATCCTAGAAACATAAGTTACATTATGAGAAGATTAACAAAGCTGGATTGGAAACAACAATAAAAACTGTAAATAACTGTAGCAATGTAATACCGGTATTTACGTAACTATTAATGGTCGACATTGTTGTTTGTTTTTGTTTTGTTTTGTTAGCAAGGCCATGCTATTAATTACATATATATCTATACATATTTCTGTTATGTAGAAACACGTAGATAACAACAATATATAAAAATGCATATATTAGAAACCACCAAGCGATCCAGAACATGTACATGATCATAAGGTTATAAATGAGTTAGTCATGTCCCTTTCCAAGTGAGTATCATAAGAAAGAAATCCCTCTTTCCCAGTTAATGATGATAGTGACGTTATACGCTACAATGTATCACTTTTATTGCATAAATAAGTAAAATGTTTATCAGTTATAAGTGTACTAAAATATCACTGCAAAAACGTTACAACACAAAAAACAAATGCCATCTGCAAGAACCCTAGCTCATTGTCAACAACATGTGTATAGATCCTTATATAGATTCAGCCAACGCGTCCAGAATCACGACTGCCAATATGGTCGAATGGGTTAGAGAACTGTTCCATATCTATAGTCTTTATTATTGACCAGGAACCAGAGTGTTAAAGATTTTGAAATAAAATATCAATATTAATCGACCTGACAATGAGCAATTGTTTTCGCAGCTACAACGAAATTACTAAAACACATACATCTATCGTGAAACAACCGTGCACACACAATCAGTGGTCAATATAATGTAGCTTACAGTGAAATTCAACGAAACTCACGTGTTTGAAGCTATATATCTGGTAATGATCTCACATTGATTTTAACTCAAGATATATTTAGTTCACAAAGATTGCATCAGTAAAATATTTCAATGAACGTGAGATGATTACAGGTGTAAATGACATCATTACAGGTGTAAGTGACATCATTACAGGTGTACATTTTGTAAGTGACATCATTACAGGTGTAAGTGACATCATTACAGGTGTAAGTGACACCATTACAGGTTTAAGTGACATCATTACAGGTGTAAGTGACATCATTACAGGTTTAAGTGACACCATTACAGGTGTAAGTGACATCATTACAGATGTAAGTGACATCATTACAGGTGTAAGTGACATCATTACAGGTGTAAGTGACATCATTACAGGTGTAAGTGACATCATAACAGGTGTAAATACAATATAACAGGTGTACATGTAAGTAAACAAGTTTTTAGAAAACGTTAAAATCAACTTACTTTTGCACTTGCGTGTGATTTTTACATTTTAAAATACTCGCTTTCACAATAAAACAAGAATAAGAATATCAATATAACACGTTTCTGACAAAAGGTAACATTGATATATAGAATCACGGTTGTGGGGAGTGATAGACGAATAAAATACATTCCAACATAGAATCAGAACGGTTTTGCCATAACTTCCGTTACAAAAATATCTGGATTTTTAGGAATCTCCAATGACATAACACATGGTTTAATAGGATTAACCAATACTTTCAAGGAAGTAAATTTAATTTTTATTAAAATAACTAATTTAGTCTCGTTACTTAAAGAGATCAGTAATTATTAATACATTTAAGTCAGGTTCACAATTTATTCTACAAACAGTCATTCTCTTAATGAATACATTCTTTGATATGGTTAACAAAATACATTTAACGATTAGAAAAGTCCAGGATTGTTTTAAGTTTAAACCGCTTTTCTCATCAAAGACGTTACAGACTTGACGACAGAAGAAAGGACGGACGGATCGATGATAAAAACGGAAGCCAGTGTTAGTATAAGTGCTATTACCTTCTATGCCTATGTGCCGTGATTTACGTTTCTGGAGTGGAACTCGAACCACGGTCTTACCCTTCTCGAGCTCAGGGTCCAAGTTCTCAAAGTGCTTGTAACACTTGTTGGTCCAATGTCCAGCAGATCGCACGTGCAGCCATATATGTCCTATAACCATAGCAACGTTATTTTGAACATCAAGCGTTAGATAGAAAAATGGTAGATTGATATTCTGTGATGATTTGATTGTTATTCACTTCCTAATTTCTCACATATTAATCACCACGCTTCATTGACAGTCATGTTAATCATAAGATGTCTGTCGATATTCACATGACGATTTTTGATAGATTGTTTCAGAATGAACGTCCTCGCAACAGCCAGGGTCATATGAGGACGGGTGTCTAGGGAGACACAACAGCCAGGGTCATATGAGGACGGGTGTCTAGGGAGACCCAACAGCCAGTGTCATATGAGGACGGGTGCCTAGGGAGACACCGCCAGAAACAGAAAGTAGATTAATGAAAAGAATGACGATAGGAAAGATAAGCGACTAAAAGGGTCGAAAGTGTTGCAATTTGGAAGCAGACCCATTTCGGTCTCTTCCACATCATCTTTGTAAAAGACACCCAAAAATATAATTCTAAAGGGGGTCCACATTAGACGTCTTTTACGATGCATATAAAGTGGTAATCAGCAGGTCTGTTCTTGGTTTGCCCCCTAAACAGGAGACATGGAATGATTATCCCTTAGTCTTCATGTGTCTCATATTAGTCGCCTCTTACAATCATGCCTTGGGATACAGCAGGCTTATTCTCTCCTCCTACATGTTACACTTGTTTCACATAAGAAACAACGATATGAATGCGACTTCTATAGAGTATAGTGAATGCATCACTTTCTTGTAATGCGCGTATAATTCTAGAATGAGCATTTAAGGTACAATGTAGTGTAAAGCGTCTTGGAGTAAGTTTGTAAATTATATTTATTATTCAATTGTCCATATTAATGTATCGCCTAGTTGATTTTTTGTTATCCTTTTTTTTTAATTCTCTTTATGTGATTTTGTTCAAATTATATGCCAAAATACAGACCCCCCCCCCCCCCATGTCAATACAAATGTTGTCTTCATTAATATGCAAATACAAAAATGAATAACAACATGGGAACACAACTATTATAAGAAACCTCAGCAATAAAACAAGGACAATATAAGAACGAAAGAAGATTCTCAGCGTTAACTAAATCCGGGGCTTCAAGTAGGCTAAAAATCGTTAAAGAAAATAATGTTGATGTCAAATGAAACAAAGAAAAACTAATGAAAATAAATTGGCTATGGTTCGGTTTAAGCAAAATTCGGTTTCATAGTAATATCAAACCTGTTTCAAAAATACACCACCTATGTGAAGAGACCACATGCGTTAATATATCACTTTTTGGACTTCGAAAGGATGGCCTCGTTATACAAATTTGCCTGTATATTGATAACATTGCACATACAAACCAAGCTGTAGTCTATGATCAATGACATATTACCATTAGGATCGATGATTATTGCTGATTAAGCCTACAACATGGTGTGTATATGAAACGCAATTAAATGACGACACGATGATGTATCATATACAATAATATTATATTTACGCCGATATTATGGCAGAAACTTGAGTTTTAACTATATTCTGCTGATACGTGTTTACTGTACCTTTCATTTCCGGGGCACTGCTGATGGTGAACGGATGCCACTCCTGCTTCGCTATAGCCGGTATCTGTATAAACACGTAGTCTCCCGCTTTGTACGAGAAGTTGTCCGGGCGGGAAATCACCAAATGTGTCACCTAATGGAATATTGAAATTCGGAAAATTGTCAAGAAAATCCCAGGAAACATATATAAAATATAAAGGAAAATAAAGTTAGAGAGTTTGAAAAAGTTCGAAAGTTGGGAAAACTTACCAGGAGACAAGACTGAAAATCAAAAAAGATCACAGAACTTTCGGCAAAACCTAATGAATAAAAACATTGCTTTGAATAAGATGTCCCTGGAGTTGTCTACTCCTTATTCTTTCATGCTACTCCTTTGTTTCTGAATTAGTCTTCCTTCGTCTCAGTTAATCGCATAATGGCCATAAACGACTTTATTGGGTCAGTAAGTTGTTATACTCACAACAAACGCTCAAGATGTTTTCTGACATGTTTAAGACATTATGTAAGCTTTTTGTATTCATGTTTATATATAGCACAACCAGTGACATATCTTTGTGTGACGTTTTTATATAACTAGTACTATATGTACTATTTCACTTTTATCCGACATGTACAGTACTCACCCCGGACGGTAAGAGGTTCACCTCCTCTATATAGGTGTTCCCGTATCTGGCCTTCTTGATCAGTTTCGACCGTGAAAATTTCTCAATGATAAATATCACTCCGGGTCCTACGAACCATTTCCAGAAATTCGATCCGTGTATGAGCAGCAGGATCCAGAATAATAGGTATAGCATGTGCGTATTGTAAAATACCTGCAAAGTGAAAGTAAGGTAATACATACATGCACACAATAATTACAAATGCGTTTTTATATGCATATAGAATTTGAAATGTATTATATTTATTCATATTATGCAATAATAAAGGCTTTTAAAATGTTAGTTAAGGAAAAAATGTAATGAAAAACTTTTCAAAAATTGAAATTAGGAACAGTACGGATATTTTTAACACTCAGTCATGTAACTGTTACACTACCCAAACCTATACACATTTTGTATTGCTTTTAAAATTAGTTTTAAAATTACCTCAGCCTATAGCAAAAAGGAGTGTGCTGCGTTCGTCCAAAATGAAAACAAAGTCAAGTGGTATCAAGGATATTTGACGAATGCTCTTATGGTTCACCGCTCTAATATGTTGGGAAATATTCTAGGAATGAAGGGTGGGGTTCACACCAGACAAACAACACACATTCCTGATGAGTATGTCATAAACTGGTACGAAAGCACAACACAGGGCAGACATGCTTATTGTGATAAGAAACTCAATCACGTATAAATCAGATCTGATATTGGTTACAGCAACAAATGAAGATTATGAGTTAGTCTAGATCTTTAACAATAAGCGGTAAATATGCTTAGGGGAGATAACTCTAACACATGCATAATTGGTAAGTTAGTAGGAATACGTAAATGAAAATAAATCATCAATCAATATATAGTAAACCGTGTCAAAAATACTCAATCATCTACTGGGGACGGGTAACCGATGGGGAATTTTTTAACCTACCCGAAAATGCCCACCATTCTGGACGAAAAACACCAAGAGAATACTGAAGCATACACAAAACCGTATTTCGAACTCAGATCTATGTAAATAAAAATGGACAAAGGACACTTTTATTCGGAGACCATTTAAGAAAGTCTAATGATAATCAGACAGGATATCTGAGAGGGTAATAGTCTTCTGTTTCATGGACTCCTACGGCTGTGAAAATCTAGGTCAAAAATCATTCAATTACGAATCAGATATTGAAAAAATAGAATTTACGAGTATGGTTTGATATCGCATAGAAAATACAATATTTTCCGAAAAGGTCAGGACAGTGACCATGAAACTAGCCCATGGTCTTCATTAATACCACGTGTTGTTAGTGTGTCTGTCAGCATTCGCTAGCTCTCATGACATTCGTAATATTCGGAGCAAGTTCGTGAATATCGATTAATAGCTACCTATAAACACCATAGATGGAGGTCCGCGAAGGTTGCTATCAAGAAAGAGAAATATCAAGATCAGAAAAAAAACAAAATCGTCACGTTTACTGTACAGCGAACTAGTGAGTGAACAATGCGTTCCCTCTGAATGAATTTAAACTCACCTAAATAAGTATGTGCAAATTTTAACCTACCTGGAAATGACCGCCTCTCCGGACGAACTCTAGTGAGCAGATTATCATTATTATGAGAGTAAGGTCCAGTGCCCATCCGGTCAAAATGGCAGTACCGTACACCCACCCGAAGCCAGCCCGGGTAGTAAACAGAATCTCCCATAGTGCAAGGTCGGGCTTAGATTTGTCAAGCAGAACTGAAACCAAAACAAGGAATTATACCACATTATTGAACTTAAAAATAACATCACTTAAGAAAATCAAACACCGCTCATTTCGGAACTTCTTAATAAAGCATTTCGGAACACTTTTGTTATTTGTTCTTTCTAACAGGAAAATAAATCTGAACGAAACCAACTCGCAGTTTTCTCGCAGTTTTTTTATTCCTGGTATTTATATATGTAGAAGAAAAATTTAGGAAAACGGTAAAAATACATGATTTTAAAGAAAATTCTCAGGGGGAGGGGGTATCTTGAAGCTCACAAAAGCCCTCTCGATCCGCCACTGTAAATATTTGCAATAGCTATTTTCGGTACGACAATATGGATTCGAAAACAAGTGTAGATGAAACCTACTTGCATTGCCCACGTGAGCTAAGGAATGTAAGATGGCGTAAAATCCTATCATCCATCCCACCATTTTATGAAATAGAATGTTCTGTTCGAGCGGCAAGATCTTGGCCACCCTGGTCATCAGTAGATACGTGATGGACTTCCTCAGCATCAACACGAGTATAAACACACAATTAAAGTTCAGGTTCATTCCACATATACGCGCCACGATGGTAAATCCATTAGAGTTCCGATAGCTGTACGCGGCGTAGGCTCCAAGCGCGATGTTGACCATGAAGTACAGTATTAAGAACACTACTTTCTTGAGGTTGTTCCGAAGGTAGGCGTACGTAAAGTATCGCGTTTTTGAATTGTTCTTCGTTTTGGTAGGAGGTTTTAGCCACTGTGCCGCACTACAAATATAAAGAGAAAACAACATGCGTTTGGCGTGTTAATATAATAAAGGAAAAAATAGGTTCAAAGATGAAATAAAAAAATCTAATCAGAATTTGAAATCGCAATTACTTTCGGAAATAAGCTAAATTGTTATTTTTTATAGTTGTTCGACTGTGAATAAAAACAGTACACAAAGGGTTGGTTATGTCAATGTCTAACTATTTGTTTTATTAAAATCTTTAACAACATACATGTAAATACGTTGAATGTAGATTTTGAAGTTACAACTGTTTGGTGATGTCACATAGATTTGGGTACAAATTTTGATATATTTATACACGTGCAAGTTTTTATTACATCAAGAAAACGATAATGATTAAGTTACAAATGTCAGTTCTGACTCTTTTCTTTATCATTTGCTATTAACAGTGAAGTTTATGTTATTGCCTCTAAACTTATAAACCTTGCGGGTGTGACAGAGAAATCTCCAACCCGAGGGATGAGGTTTTTATGTTGTCTAACCCGAGGGTAAGACAACCAAAAAAAAATCACCCGAGGGTTTTCGATTTCCCGGTTACACCCTTAAGGTAGGGGACGATTGTTTTTCTCCCATCCTATTATTTCAGTCACAACTCCACCGACAGTAGTGTAAACAAAACAGATGTGAGTTATGAATATCGTCAATCACTTTTGATGACGTCACAATTAACGTGACACATTTTAATGACGTCACAATTGAACACTTGTTCCTATTTCCATTTGTCTTCTCTGTTATTGTAATATCATGCTTGAACTGAAATAAAAGAAAGTTTAAACTAATCGCCAAGAGGCTACCTAGGGGGTGACAAGCTGACCTTTCCGGGCTAAAACGGGAGACACCCCTGTGAAGGGTGGGAGAAAACACCTGCTGTACTATCGAGATGTTCGGGATCGAATGCACTTTACACCTACATTTTATAAAAAGGAAAATTACAATGAATATACTTCTGCATATCTCTCTACTCAAGTTATGTTAATTGGCAAGCACCTTCTATTCATAAAAGGTCAAAATATAAAGCTTTACTTCAGATACGATGGATACTGGTGGTTCTTTCTTCTTTAACCTTCACATATTGTAATATATATAGATTTTATTGGGACACTTAAAAAGAAAAATCTCTTTTCATAAAATGATGAATTCTCATCAGAATAAGATGCAATTGAAATCGTATATACATTGTATTTTTAATGAACAAATCCTTAAAAACGAAATCTGAATGTAAAGCCACGGATCGTTGAAGTATAAAGGAAAGTTGAGTGTTAATCTAATATTAAATATTTACCCCGTGACGCGGTACATGTTATATGTAAACATGGAGGTCGTGTTCTCAGAGATTGACACACTGTAGTGTTTGAGAAGAAGACTTATAACCGGAGTAGAACGTGATATATTGAATGTTAAACACACGAGAACGTGCAGTGAGACAGATCCTCAAACGTGTACAGATACTGTATACTGTAGCCCTCACAAACACAGGTCGGTCCCTCTGTGCCGTTCTGGTCAAGTGCTGGGGCCTGTTCGGTTATAAATATACATTTTCGGGTATAAATCCTGCCGGACCTGCAATTGCTTTACGCAGGCCTTACAAAGCTTTGTCAAGGCTCGCCTGAAAGCAGGATTACATTTTGTGTCGTCGCGGCGGACAAGTAGTTAAGGCGTCTGACATTCTGCTACCACTAGCCCTCCACCACTGAGTCGTGGGTTCGAGGCCTACGTGGGGCAGTCGCCAGGTACTGGCCGACGGTCGGTGTTTTTTTTTCTCCGGGTACTCCGGCTTTCCTCCACCACCAAAACCTGACACGTCCTTAAATGACCATAGCTGTTAATAGGACGTAAAAAACAAGCAAACAAACCCAATCTTGATTTTGTTCTTGTGTGTTGACGATATGGTATTGTACCGTGATACGAATACATCTGCCGATACCGCTAAATATATCTGTGACATCCTCTTGCATAAGCCTGGTATATTATATTAATCGGTTTGAGAGCAAAATGTAACCAAAATCGTTTCAAAATTGTTAAAAAGCATGATCATTTTTTGGCCAAATTTACTTATATGTTCGCTTTTGTTAAAGAACTTAGCTAGAATCGTTTCCTTTGAAAATGAACAAATCCGAGTAAAACAGATATAATAAACAACGGCCAGGAATTTTTGAATGTGTTACTATAAGATCGATATCGTTGTTTTGTAAACAAGGGGTCAAGTCACATAGGAATTTATGTTGTGGTGAAAAGTTTGCTTGCTGAAGTATAAAAGGGTGCTCCAAAGTGCTCCAGGAAAAGGATATCAAGTGTCTGACAGGCCATCCTAATAACTTTACTACAAATAGATCTCTTAGTTGACACAATAAAAAACTCATTATTTACAAATATATAAATATCATTAACATACATTTGTGAGAAAGTTAATATGACCTAATAGTATTGTATTGTCAATAACGTTTAAGAAATATAATAGCATTTGTAAAAATCCACATGACATTTTTGGAGCGTGTAAATGTTGAATATTTAAGTAGAGCGTATTTACCTAGCGTACGCTCGTGTTGACATTACATTGTTAGACATTGATATCAAATTCTTTTCTTGTATTACCTTAACCCCGTCCGTATTACAAGCACTGCACGAACAGTGATCTTACTGACACGTATTGTATACCAGGGTCAATATAGAACGACGGGGGACGCGATAAAGGTCGTCTTGTATGTGAAGGTGTGACATGGTTCTCTCAGTGGCACTAAGTGGATGTGAATGGTTTTGAGGAACTAAAATGGATGAGATTAGACTAAAGTGTAAGAAAGAGAATGTAAAAATAAAATGAGTGTACGAGAGAGGCATTAAGATGAAGGATAAGAAAATGAGAGTATGAGACTGTCATCGAGTGGATGACAGTGAGAAGATGGCAGTGGATGAGAGTGGATGAGAAGGGATGGTAGTGGATGAGGGTGGAAAGCTGAGGATGCGAGTGGATAGCAGTGAATGAGAGTTGGTATTTGTGGATAAAAGTTGGTGGTTGTGCATAATTGTTGGTGGTTGTTGATAAGAGTAAATGGCAGTGGATAAGTGTGTGTGGTTGTGGATAAGATTGTGTGGCAGCGGATAAGAGTGTGTGGTTGTGGATGAGAGTGACTGGCTGTTGAACAGAGTGGATAGCTGGTGATGATAGTGAAAGTGAGGAGATTTGAGTAACATTTACTTAAGTGATATTGACGGATAGAAGTTGCGTGGATTGAAGCAGCGATGAGTGATTTGCATTGGCATGATATGATTCGCAATGTTACTTAGTGGGTGCAGGAGACGGGGATCGAATGGCTTTGACAACGAAATAATGAGTATTTCAGATACTGCGGGGTATGCGTGTACGTTTTAAATCCACCAACGCTATATTCAGGCAATGGATTTCCATTTAAACAACTATAGTAAAAAGAACGTACACACACACAGATGGTTTTCTTAAACACGGGAAGGATACTGTTATCCTCACCTTATTGTTAGATTCTCCAAAACACCCGGATGTTTCTCTAGTTCCGCTTTCAGTTCCTCAAACGAGATGGCGCCACTGCAGTCTTCGTCGGCCGAGTCAAACAGGATATCGGTAAGGGCGTCCATGTTTTCCTCGCTGATGGAGAGAGAACTCTCCTCGGTACAGGACATCAGCACGGTCTTTAGTTCTTCCCTGTCAATCGTTCCACTTCCTGTAGGTGTCAAAGGTGAAACATAATAATAACTGCGTTTGGCACTCATGCTCTTGATTAATTATTTTTAAACATTGAAAGCCTTTATGTCTGTTCCGAGCAATACGACATACAGGCCAGTATTATAGAGACCTTAGATGTAGCATGGCGGACTTAAAGTTAAAAAAGGTACATCTCTTATAAAAAATGAAACAGCCCAGAGTATTTCAATAAGTTAACAGATCTGTGATGTTTTATAGTGTAGAAGACACGTGTAAACTTGACAACCAAATGTATGTCAACTGTGACACGTTTTTGTTTTTTATTCTCCCTTCCGGTTACATGCATATTACGGATTGACATAATCTATAGGAATTACAAGCATACGGAACGATACTACAAGATCTACATTGGTTGCTTAAATGTCTCTTAGATAAAGACACAACATAATCAACTTTACATGGAGCACTACAGTACTTAAGTCGCCTCGTTTGATCATACAGTGGTGTTGAGAATCCTCGACCCTTTTCTGATGATATTATTCGTGCTTTGACAAACAACGGTAGATCGAACCAAGATAACATATATACATATTTTGTATCGCAAAATTGTCTCTTCCTTTAGATAGTGTGGGCAATGACAACATTTATTTACTCGTTCCTTTCGTCCGTGACTTTTGTAAAGGATCAAACGTATTTTATGTATCAGATTATTTCGTTACCTAGTCCCATCTATCAACTTCGTAGACAACACTGTTGACAGTGCAGATAAATAGAGATATTTCCTGTATGGGGTTTTCAATCAAAATAGAATTAAAATGCAACATAAGTTTAAATTTTGTCAAATCATTTCGCACATGCACCTCTTCCACACTAACACAGCCTATTTGGTAATAATTACGTGGATCCTGTGTGATATTTGAATTGCTCGACACGCTGTACAAGGAAATACATCCGGTACAGATAGTTTGACGTCAAAACATCTCTACCTCGTATAATTGAAACATTAGCTAAATCTCTTCTCATGGCGAACGTGAACACAACAAACTTCACTCGGAATGTATTACTGCAACTTTGATTTTGAAATACAATGCTTTACATAACATGTTTATATGCAATTGAGCACGCGTTATTTATTTGACTCCCTGTGAGACATTTAATTAAGCACAATTCTGGTTTGCAATAAACAAGTTATGACATCACGCCATAAAACTTTGGAACAATATTGCTGTTGTCCGGTGTTATGCATGTACATGTGTCTTTTTGATTTTGTCCGTACTAGATACTGACATAAGGTGTTTGCAAGCGCGAATTATTTTGTTTTCTGATACATAAAACCTAGTTAAAACTAATGGTAAATGAAGTGTTAGAAATATGTTGATTATCGTATTTAAAGAAGCATTGCAAACGTAAACATTTACCAAGTCTGAATGGTTTTGCAGTACCTACGAATATCCACCAATCATAATTCAACATGTCGATATTTTTTTTACTCACCGTCTACGTCATATACGTCAAACAGAAACTTGAGTTTCTGAGCGGGCGTTCCTTTTGTGAGCGTGCGCAGTCCGTCTAGTAACTCGTGTAACTCTATAGACCCACTGTGATCCTGGTCGAAAAGGGCGAAAAATCGCTCGGCGAAAAATGACTGAAAGGAGCAATTGATAAAAATGCTAATTTTGTTTTGAACACAAACATTAATTGTTAACTTATTTTGAGAACTTTCGAAAACGTCTGTTTCCTTTTTCAAGAAAAGAGAGCAAATGGCAGGTGTCTTAACTCTAAAACGTTGAAAAGTGGTTTTTTCGGATTTAAGGTTTAGTTTCTTGTTTAGGTTTAAGGCTATATGCTACATCTCCCTTTTCATCAGTGTTGCCCTGTCATTCACAAGCACCTGTTATAATGCGTTCCGTCCCGTGTATTTGTCATCAATCAAGTCAACATCATAATTTATAGAAAGATAGTTTTGGCATCGTTAGTCTCGACCTCTTTCGTGTCCCATGAAGGAAACATTTCTCCTTAAGGATATTGATAACTATACATCACTTTATTACAACATTTATCACCACTTCGCCAAATATATACCTGTAAGATATATTATACGACTGATCGAATTATACATTGTTACAAAGTAACTACAGATACTGTAACACAAAGTTGTATCCGTATTTCACTTGATCGTATGCAACCTGGCGGTTTTAACAGCGTACAATAGTCTCCTTGTGCCAATGTTCAGTTGAATATCTTACACATCTCATTTTACTTATCAATTAATGACTTTGCTGAGGTGAACATGTGGTAGTATGAACCTGAGCTAGGGATATTAACCGAGACACAGATTATAAATACCATAAAACTGTTTTGAGGGATCGTAAACGTTTGCCATTGAGAAGGTTATAATTAACCAATCCATTTGACACTGAGAGCACAAATACTACTTGACGTTGAGAACCTCACTAGCTAATCATATCCTCTGACCTTGAGAGTTGAAGTACTTACCCTTCTGACTTTGAGAGCGTCCTTGAACTCCCCGAGACTGATTTCCCCATCCTCCCCAGCGATGGTTGTGAACTGGCGTTCTATCCACGACAGCCATTTCACGTCTTCTTCACTAAAGCGGGGTAAATGTGGAAAGAGAGAAAGTAATATATTAGTAACAGATCTGTAATAAGGTCTCCTCTGCACATGCGTAGACGATTTCTGCGATCCTATCACAGAGTCTTCGTCCTTATCTATCTCGTCATCCCACATGGCTATTCGAGTGTGGCTCACGAGAGTCGACAGTTAATCCGCGCGCGCGGAATGTCTCGTGAGACGGCCATTAAATCTATACCCAGTAGGAGAGACACATTCACGACTTAACATAACACGGCAGTTATTTTTATAATCCTGTTATAAAGTGGAGTCTGTTTCCAAAGCCTAAATTGTTTGCATTTCAAAAAGTATCTATTTGAATCAAACAGGTATTCTATAGATGCCTGTCTCAAAAAGAGGCGCTACACGTCTTATATTGGCGAGAGGTCATCAAACTGCGCCAACTTTGGATTTCTATTGTAAATCCTCATCAATCATCACGGTGCTGTATTTCCCCCTGATCCGATCGGAAACATCTTATCTCTTTAAATCTTTACTGTAACTCTTCACGCATACATCATCGTAACTGCTACATAGGTACAAACCACAAACTCTGTGTAATCCTTGTCTGTTAAAAAAGCTATTATTTTTTTTTATTTGAACATTGAAATTTCTATTCACAAAATTGTCGTATTTTGGAATAAAGGAGTTGCAATAAAAACATATACAATCTTTCACAGTATGCAGTGTATTCAAGTTTAAATAACAATTACAACTTTAAAATATTAAGTTCTCTCTATGCTTTTTACATGGTCATTTCTTACAAAAAATAATCCGAATTTTACGACAACGTTTAGTTCGCGACAATTTAAGCATACAGGTAAAGTCTTTTTCTAACGGCGATTGGCATGTTACCTCAGCTCATGAGAGACGCTGAATAGCGTTTATTTTATTTCATACAAACGTTCGTTTGATGGGAGGACCAAGTACTCGGCTATGGTCTGTGTTCATTAACAGCTTGGTGATGTGACGGCGTTAATGGACACCACGTATTGTCCCCTTAACGGCTAATATATCCACAGATGTGTTTTTAACGTGAAATCCTGGCCAAATGTTATACACTTCATTTCCCTGTTTATAAAGAAAGTTTCATTCATGTTTATAATAACTCTAGTTATGTCACAGTATTGGGGGCTGCACGTTGATTCGAGGCTCCAATGTTTGGTGATATTTATTGGATATTTTGCCTAAGGATGCCACTAGGGGGGCCACTCAAAACTCATCATGGGTCCAGTACAGGCGATGGCAATATTGAAATAAGGTTTTAATATTTGTTTCATGAATAGCTCGTTCAATTGATGTCGAATGCGAACGGAAGAAAAAAGAGGGTTTTAAGAGATGCAGGTTAAGAAATATGGAGGAATAATAATTTTAATTAGATTGCCAGCATTATGTCATTTGCATCAAGCAAATGTGTTTTTTTTTAGTCCCTGGTCGTAATCTACGACCAATTCGTTTCAACCAGTTTTACAGTCAGAGAAGTAGAATTAACGTTAGAAAGTAATGTATTTTAAGCAGGATTCAATGCAATTTTAACTATCTTGAGTTTGCAAGAGACAGTGACATGTTTTGTTCCTCTCTCTCACAGTTTAAAATACGGCTAAACAATATTTGCTATCACTGTTTCCTTTTGTTTTACATATGAGTATCTTTTAGTCTGTGTTACATGAATACCTGACTGTGATATGTTATGCTTGTGTTGTATTGTTGTTATCCTTTCTGTAAGTGGACCCTTGGGTCTGTTGAATTGGAAACAAATAAATGAATAACTAAATACAAAACAAAATGGAAATACGTTTTTCCTGTGGTTTATAAGAAGGTTGATAGTTTGATGTTCACATTAGTGTGTCTTGTTGATTTGTTGTTACTACCCCCACTCTCACTCTGAGGACATGACATCACTGTGTTATTGACACTTCCTGTATTATCTTGTTTAACTAAGAATTATACCGACAGTATAATATTACAAGTTATGCATGTTACTCTGGGACTCGCTAGACCACAAAGTATCATCCTAGAGTATTTTGTGTTTATTACACATAATTTCCTGATAGTTAAAATTGCATGTTAAATCCTAAATTATCATTTCTGTTATTATGTGTAGTATTATTTACTACCACTGGCACCACGTTATGACATTTTAGAATGGTTTTCATACAGGGTTGTAAGTGTTGCTTCTATTCAAATTCAGTTTCATTGATGGAATGTTCCCAGATAAATATTAATTAAAATTCATCAATTCCTAGCGTGAAAGTAAATATCAATTAAAATTCAATAATTCCTATAGTAGATAAATAAGTATCAATTAAAATTCAATAATTCCTATAATAGAAAAATAAGTATCAATTAAAATTCATTAATTCCTGTAGTTGAAAAATAAGTATCAATTAAAATTCAATAATTCCTATAGTAGAAAAATAAGTATCAATTAAAATTCATTAATTCCTAGTAGAAAAATAAATATCAATGAAAATTCATTAATTCCTAGTCGAAAAATAAATATCAAATAATTCCTAGTAAAACAATAGATATAATTACTATAATAGTAACGACATTTACATACGTATACTATATATATAGACTACCGTGGAGTTTTTGGACGCGGATTATAGGTAGGAATGCCGTCTTACAGAACTCCAGATAAACTCGGAGTGCACTCATGGTGCACCACAAAGTATATTAATAAATGAATAGAAAGTATAGTACCAGTGTGATTGGTCTACATAAATCCGTTACTCGAACTTATATCATCACAAGTGAAGATATAATTAATGATAATTTGAGGTTCTTATATACCGCTTTATCACAACCTAGTTCGTAGGTCGTCTCAAAGCGGTTCAAAAATTATTATCCGTGGTTACAGGGTCTTACCAACCAGCCAATATCTTTCTCAACTCCCTGGGGAGCTACGTCAATAAGATACACGTATTTTATTACACTGATTTTGTTTCATATTTCACTGGTGAAAATGTAATTTTATTAATTCGTACATATTATCTAACAGGTGTCAAATATAAGTTTTTTGTTCAATAGTTAGTCACGGAAATAGATAATTATGAAAAAGAAGCAAACTGCAAACTGCGAAACATGAAAACAAAAAATAGCATTAAGCATACCCACATTTACGTAAATAGCTTGCATACGTTTATCTGAATAGCTAGCAGACATACGTAAATCACGTATATACTTTTAAATAAATGCATTGCGCAAAAACGTAAAACGCTTGTATAATATAACGAAAATAGTTTGCACACTAGCGTGGATAGCTTCACACTTTTCTGCGTAAATAGTTTGCATGCATACATAGACAACTTGAATTTTATGTAAAGAGATTACACGTGCTTAAAATGCATGGGCAATATGTCTGTAAAAAGCGTACAATAATGCAAACAGCACCACAGGCGTTCAACAAGGGTAACATTCACGGTAAGCCATACCCAAACAGTCTACATGTATAAAGTATCTCTCTTGTTGAAATAATCACGTGTTCTTGTTAATGTGCTCGCCAGTTTTATTATTAATTGAAAATAAGAAACAAAATTATGATAAGTATACATTCCTAAAAGAGCAGGTTTATGGGTGTTAGAGGTGAATATATTTCTTTTTGTGTTCCAGCAACTAACACTATCAAAATACAATGTTCAATCTATTATATGAAAATATACCAGTTAACACTACACATGACAAAACAAAACATATATAAACAATATCAAAAACGAAAGGTAACTTAGCCTTGCAAACGTCGTATTAGACCTAACAATTACCTTCGGTAGCATTACCGCGAAAATGATTCTGTTAGCCTGTGTCAGTCGTGCTAGGTACTATGATAAAATGATTTAATCTTGCTTGTAACAAGCATTTTCATTGACTTAAAAAATATGTTAACAGCCCATAACGTAGAAAATGACGTCGCCGTTTGTAACGTCGCTTTTGATTGGCTGATACAGCGGCGTAATAATTTCTAAGAGAAAAGAGTCCATCAATAAACGTGGATATTCACATGGATTGTGTATAGTAGATTAAATTGTAAGGGTTGACTTGAATATGTTTTTTATGCTATGGAGTTATAACACAAAAAACCGGAGTGTACTCTCATCATAAACCGCTTATTTAGAGTACACTCCGTTTTTTGTTTGTTATATCTCCATAACATGAAAAATAGATTCAAGTTAATCCTTAAATATCATTTGAGTGATTGTGTAAACTAAGGCATGAATGTTGACCGTTGTAGAACGCCTGAACCATTACCAAAGCGTATATACAGTATTAGTCTTACCTTTTATGCTCTACCGGCTTTTCTCTAGAACAGACGAGGTTAGTACAGAGATTGAATGTTACGTAAGTAGCGTGCCAATATGTGAAAACAACCCAATATGTGAAAATTGGAAAAACTATATGGAATTCGTTAATTACTGTGTTTAAATGACTTATTATTAAAACTAACTTTATTGTAAACCATCTCAACTAATTAAATCCACTTATTAGCAAAAAAATGTTTTTTCACTTTTCACGAATTGGGTTGCACATGATAGGACAAATCCTATCAACCCAATATGTGAAAACATGAAAAAAAATGTTTAAAATTCCGAAATAACTTTCTATTAATTACTAATTATTCAAAGAAGCTCTAATGTGAATAATTTCCACTAATTACATACACTTATTAGCCAAAATATACAAAGTTTTTTTTCACTTTTCACGAATTGGGTTGCACATGATAGGACAAATCCTATCAACCCAATATGTGAAAACATGAAAAAAATGTTTAAAATTCCTAAATAACTTTCTGTTAATTACTAATTATTCAAAGAAGCTCTAATGTGAACAATTTCCACTAATTAGATACACT